GGCCCATGGGTTCAACCTTAGACTATGGCTTCGGGCATGATACGGTTTAGGGTTTTGGGTCTAGGGTTTATGAGTTTAAGGTTTAGGGTTATGGCTTCGGGCATGATGCGGTTTAGGGTTTGGGGTTTAGGGTTTATGAGTTGAAGGTTTGGGGTTCAGGGTTTTTTCCATCGGATTTCTGTTGCGAGGGTTTGGGTATGTGGCCATCAAGCTGTTGTTTAAACATCAAAAAAACAGCACTAAAGAAGACAGCAGCAGCATACCAAAGAGAAAAGAGCGGTAGCAATCATGATCATACACGTAACAAAAAGCAGTAAGATCTATGACTTGTCCTGTATACAGTTATACCAGCTGGCTCAAGAGGCTGTTGGCAGCCTGTTTAAGCCCTTGTTCCACCAGTTACAACGGCTTACAGCTTCGGGTTATGGGTCGACGGGCTCAGGGTACAAACCCAACACGTGTAGTCCAAAGCCTAACAAAAGAACCCTAATCACAACCCTACACCCAACAAACCCAAAAATTCGAACCCTAAACCCTTCAGCCCCTAAACCAAACTCAACCATCCCGCCTAACCCCTAAACTCTCGTAAGACCATAACCCAAAGCCTGTTGAACAAACAAACTTATAATAAGCCCAAGCCCTTACCCCTCGTCCCCCAAAACCCAAAACTAGCCCTCGCAAATTACCGCAATGAAGAGCCCTGTAAACTCTGTTGGCAAATCTCTGGAATCCTGCGATAAGAACCAAGAAACCTACCAAATCTTTGTCCCAGCCCCTACCCCTCAACCCAAAGAAAACCAGCGTGCGTGGCAGGTTCGCGGGGCAAACAGCAAGATCCGGTGCGCTCGCTTCCAAGGCTCCATCGAAACTCGGCTCGATCACTCCATAATGCCGCCTCCTTATCTTCCCCAATAAGGCAGGGAAATAGGTTAAACTTTCAGAATGATACTAAACTATACTAACCCAAAAAGTTTAAAGGTTGGGTATTGGAGAACTAAGTTATATTGCTGGTGCGGAACACAACCTCGCTGGCAATCAGCTCCGGCGAGAGTCGAAAGCAGCACAGTAGAGTACGGATTAAAGAAACATCACAACCGGCCAGGAAATCGGATTTGGCTGCGCGTTAGAATCATTTTTCCATTTTCTTCCAAGAGCGCGGGTCTCCGACAGGTCTTCCAGGATTCCAAATGAGTCACTCCAATCGAGTCCCGAAGTATGCCGCATTCCAGATGCCCTCCGTCAACAACTCCATCTAGCATATGGGTCGTAAAATTTAGAATACCGTTTCAGGGTATATCATAGAACACTTCATATAAGGACGCATAAAGAATAGAATTACCAACTTCGCAGGCTCTGTAGAGACATGTTAGGCTCGCTCAGAGTCAGAACTTCCGACGCTGAGCGGCCGAGTAACACAGGTTTAGGGTTTAGGGACCCAAACTATAATAAGATGGTAGACATAAGAATTCGACAAGGGTTTGGGAGATCTTCATACGACAGTTACATTAAGGGACCCAAGGAAGCTATGAGAACCCAAAAAGCTTAAAGGTTGGGTACGTATTGCAGAACTAAGCTTGACAGAACCCCAAGAAGGAGCCCCAAACCCCAAAAGCCCTCAACCCTCCAAACAAAGAAGCCCAACGAAAAAACCAACGGAGCCCCCAAACAAAACCCTAAACCCTAAACCCGAACGAGGACCTGTTTAGGGTTTAGGGTTTAGGGGGTTGCCGGTTCAGGGGTTGAGGGTTTAGGGTAATGGAAGCCTCAAGGCCCTAAACCCTAAACCTGAAGGCTTCAAACCCTAAACCCGAAGGCCCGCAACCCTAAACCCTAAGATCCTAAACTCTAAACCCTACCCTAAACCTGAAGGCTTCAAACCCTAAACCCGAAGGCCCGCAACCCTAAACCCTAAGATCCTAAACTCTAAACCCTACCCTAAACCTGAAGTTCAAACCCTAAACCCGAAGGCCTTCAACCCTAAACCTAAGATCCTAAACCCTAAACCCTATACCCTAAGATCCTAAACTCCCTACACCCTGAAAACCCCCTGGCCGGAAACACCAAAGCCTGAGACCCCGTGCCCCCTGATACCCCCAAAGGCCCTAAAGCCCTAAGGCCCTAAAACCCGAGGCCCTCAACCCTAAACCCTAAACCCCTAGACCCTTAACCCCTAAACCCTACACCCTAAACCCAGACCCTAAACCCTAACCC